TCAAATATCCTACATATACATATATCCAACATGGAGATATAGGTCAAAATTTCCCACTCCCATAACTCGGTCAAAGCTGACAACATAAATTTTGGTCAAAATTCATGTGAAAATGGTACCCTCAAATGTCCTACATATACATATATCCTATATGGAAATATATAACAAAATTTCCCACTCCCATAAACTCAAAACTCAACCGATTTTCAAAAGGGTTGGCTCTTTGCTTACGGTTTGACCTCTTAATCAATTTGGCATTCAATTCTGACAACATTCATTTTGGTCAAAATTCATGTGAAAATGGTACCCTTAAATATCCTACATATACATATATCCTATATGGAGATATAAATCAAAATTTCCCACTCCCATAACTTGGTCAAAACTCAACCGATTTTCAAAAGGTTTGGCTTTTAGTCCATGGTTTGACCTCTTAATCAATTTGGCATTCAAATCTGACAACATTAATTTTGGTCAAAATTCATGTGAATATGGTACCCCCAAATATCCTACATATACATATATATCCTATATGGAAATATATAACAACATTTCCCACTCCCAAACTCGGTCAAAACTCATCCGATATTTAAAAGGGTTGGCTCTTTGCTTACGCTTTGACCTCTTAATCAATTTGGCATTAAATTCTGACAACATTAATTTTGGTCAAAATTCATGTGAAAATGGTACCCTCAAATATCCTACATATACATATATCCTAAAGGTCAAAATTTCCCACTCCCATAACTCGGTCAAAACTCAACCGATTTTCAAAAGGTTTGGCTTTTTATCCATGGTTTGGCCTCTTAATCAATCTGGCATTCAAATCTGACAACATAAATTTTGGTCAAAATTCATGTGAAAATGGTACCTTCAAATATCCTACATATACATATATCCCAAAGGTCAAAATTTCCCACTACCATAACTCGGTCAAAACTCAACCGATTTTCAAAAGGTTTGGCTTTTTATCCATGGTTTGGACTCTTTATCAATCTGGCATTCAAATCTGACAACATAAATTTTGGTCAAAATTCATGTGAAAATGGTACCCTCAAATATCCTACATATACATATATCCCAAAGGTCAAAATTTCCCACTACCATAACTCGGTCAAAACTCAACCGATTTTCAAAAGGTTTGGCTTTTTATCCATGGTTTGGCCTCTTAATCAATCTGGCATTCAAATCTGACAACATAATTTTTGGTCAAAATTCATGTGAAAATGGTACCCTCATATATCCTACATATACATATATCCTATATGGAAATATATAACAACATTTCCCACTCCCATAACTCGGTCAAAACTCATCCGATTTTCAAAAGGGTTGGCTCTTTGCTTACGCTTGACCTCTTAATCAATTTGGCATTCAATTCTGACAACATTAATTTTGGTCAAAATTCATGTGAAAATGGTAGCCTTAAATATCCTACATATACATATATCCTAAAGGTCAAAATTTTCCACTCCCATAACTCGGTCAAAACTCAACCGATTTTCAAAAGGTTTGGCTTTTTATCCATGGTTTGGCCTCTTAATCAATCTGGCATTCAAATCTGACAACATAAATTTTGGTCAAAATTCATGTGAAAATGGTACCCTCAAATATCCTACATATACATATATCCCAAATGTCAAAATTTCCCACTACCATAACTCGGTCAAAACTCAACCGATTTTCAAAAGGTTTGGCTTTTTATCCATGGTTTGGACTCTTTATCAATCTGGCATTCAAATCTGACAATATAAATTTTGGTCAAAATTCATGTGAAAATGGTACCCTCAAATATCCTACATATACATATATCCTATAGGTCAAAATTTTCAACTCCCATAAGTCGGTCAAAACTCAACCGATTTTCAAAAGGTTTGGCTTTTTATCCATGGTTTGGCCTCTTAATCAATCTGGCATTCAAATCTGACAACATAAATTTTGGTCAAAATTCATGTGAAAATGGTACCCTCAAATATCCTAAATATACATATATCCTATATGGAGATATACATCAAAATTTCCCACTCCCATAACTTGGTCAAAACTCAATCAATTTTCAACAGGTATGGCTTTTTATCCATGGTTTGGCCTCTTAATCAATTTGGCATTCAAATCTGACAACATAAATTTTGGTCAAAATTCATGTGAAAATGGTACCCTAAAATATCCTACATATACATATATCCTATATTGAAATATAGGTCAAAATTTCCCACTCCCATAACTCGGTCAAAACTCAACCGATTTTCAAAAGGTTTGGCTTTTTGTCCATGGTTTGACCTCTTAATCAATTTGGCATTCATATCTGACAACATAAATTTTGGTCAAAATTCATGTGAAAATGGTACCCCAAATATCCTACATATGCATAAATCCTATAGGTCAAAATTTCCAACTCCCATAACTCGGTCAAAACTTAACCGATTTTCGCAAGGCTTGGGTTTTTTTCCATGGTTTGACCTCTTACTCAATTTGGCATTCAAATATGACAACATTAATTTTGGTCAAAATTCATGTGAATATGGTAGCCTAAAATATCCTAAATATACATATATCCTATATGGAAATATCAATCAAAATTTCAAACTCACATAACTCGGTCAAAACTCAACCGATTTTCAAAAGGTTTGGCTTTTTGTCCATGGTTTGACCTCTTAATCAATCTGGCATTCAAATCTCACAATATAAATTTTGGTCAAAATTCATGTGAAAATGGTACCCTCAAATATCCTACATATACATATACCCTATATGGAAATATATATCAAAATTTCCCACTCCCATAACTCGGTCAAAACTCAACCGATTTACAAAAGGTTTGGCTTATCCATGGTTTGACCTCATTATCAATTTGGCATTCAAATCTGACAATATAAATTTTGGTCAAAATTATTGAGATATAGGTCAAAATTTCCCACTCCCATAACTCGGTCAAAACTCAACCGATTTACAAAAGGTTTGGCTTTTTATCCATGGTTTGACCTCATTATCAATTTGGGATTCAAATCTGACAATATAAATTTTGGTCAAAATTCATGTGAATATGGTACCCTCAAATATCCTAAATATACATAAATCCTATAGGTCAAAATTTCCCACTCCCATAACTTGGTCAAAACTCAACCGATTTTCAACAGGTTTGGCTTTTTATCCATGGTTTGGCCTCTTAATCAATTTGGCATTCAAATCCGACAACATAAATTTTGGTCAAAATTCATGTGAAAATGGTACCCTCAAATATCCTACATATACATATATCCTATATTGAAACATAGGTCAAAATTTCCCACTCCCATAACTCGGTCAAAACTCAACCGATTTTCAAAAGGTTTGGCTTTTTGTCCATGGTTTCACCTATTTATCAAATTGGCATTCAAATCTGACAACATAAATTTTGGTCAAAATTCATGTGAAAATGGTACCCTCAATAAACTAAAATAGTCTAAAAAAATTATCAAAAAAGGTTGATTTTACAAACGAAACGTTTTTTGTTCAACAACTCATTTCAACCCATCAATTTTTAATTTGTTTGAATGCCGTATGATAGTAGGGATCCGTACGAATTCAAAAAGGTATAATATTTTAAAATCAGATCATATTTACACGAGATTTTAAGCAATCGATAAAAATCGATATCGATATCCTGTTTTTTGGGCCATTTTAATAAATAATAAGAGCTAGAGTCACCAAACTTGACATATAGCTTGTAAAATAGAATATATGTATATATGAAGAGGGTTCAGGGTATCCCCTAGTCGGGAGTTCTCGACTAGAGCCTCTTACTTGTTTTTTTATGCGTTTTAAATTTATTTCGTTGCTGCAGAGCAACCCCTGGCAATGGTGCCTGTCGCACGCACGCAAACTTCCGGTCACACACACACACGCGAACACATACACACACGCACACTGAAGATGTGTGGCACACATGTGAGAGCCCGAACGCTGGCTGCCTCAACAAAGAAATGAAAACAACTTGCGTGCCAGTCTACATTTTTATTTATCGTGCAAAGTGATTCGTGTGTAATTGCAGAAATTGCGTTAAATTATTTAACAAGCGAATGCTCGCAAGGAGGCTGAGCGGAGGGCAGTGGGAGGCAGCCCGGCAGTGCAAAAAATTCAAATTCATTTACACTTTACGCACAACGTATGCAGGAAATTGATATATGCAATAAATTTGTAGACTACTGTGCCGGGCGGGCAGGAAATTATTTCGCTCGCACATCAAAATTGCAAATATTGAAAAATATTTGAATTTCAGTTGCTAACCAAATTTGTGAATCTAATTGAATTTTCATTGCAGCTGCGCAAATAAATGTGGTTTAATGCGGGGCAATTGGCCCCCGACGCTCACCACAAAACGAACAACAACATGCAGAAACAAAAGCAACAATAACAGCTAGAGCGGACAGAAGCTATGTCGCTTGCGGATGTGAAATTCACTTTGAGGATATGAAAATAGCACATAAACGAGCCATAACACATGAGAGCAAACGGAAGAGCTTAAAAGGAGTACAAAAAAGAACACAGAAACAGGCAGCTGGCAACTTGGCAGCAACAGCAATCAACACACAAAGCAACACTGCCAGCCAAAAGCAACAGCAACAGCAACAACAGCATCAGCAAGCAAAGCCCAGCACCAGTTAGCAAAAGAAAGTGAAAGCTGAAAGCCGAAACTGTAAACGACGCTCCGTGTAAACACTCAAAAGCTCGTTAAGAGAATACATCCGGTCAAAGCGTATGTGTGAGTGCGTGTGTGTGCGTGTATGTGTCAACATGTACCGACGCCAGCGACGCCGTCTGAGTAGCTCCAACTCTCGCCTCTGCCCGGCCATTGCCATTGCCATTGCATAGTCGCATAGTCGCGCTTCCGTTTCCGTCTACGCTCACTCGCCTCATTTCCGCTGTGGCTGCAATTAAGCGAACTACCCTAACCTCTTGCCAAGCCAAAAATAAATAAAAATTCAACAAAAACGACAACAACAACAATAGCAAGAACAACAATGGCGCGCGCGACCAACTTTAATGGTAAGTATCACAAAAAGTTGAACCAAATTTAATCAGTCAAGAAACTGCTCAAAAGTAAAAGAAAAGTTTCCATTTAAAGCGAATTACGCTTCATTAAAAACTCTATTCGAATTTAAATTACATTTTTCATATTTTGTAATTTTTAGCCAAGGCTTTTAATTTACAACTTTTCACAAGTTTTTCAAATATTAATTATGATACGTATTTGTTGGAAATTAAAAAAAAATCCGTTACATCAAAATCGAAATTCAATTTTCCTTGGCAGATGCGCTGGACTACATATACATAGCGAATAGCATGAATGATAAAGCCTTTCTTATAGCCGAGCCGCGGCCCGAGGATGACGCTGTCGCGGATGAGCAGGACGAGGATTTTGGCAGCGGCGGCGGCGACAATAACAACAACAATCATTACTACAACGATGGCGGCGATAGTGACTTTATGAGCACAGGCGCTGCCGCCGGATCCTTGGAGAGCAGCAGCACGCCCAGCTCATCGCTGGCCACAGCCGCGCTGGCAGCGGCTGCGGCGAGCGCCTCGGTGGCCGCGGCAGCAGCGCGCATAACCGCAAAGGCGGCGCATCGGGCACTGGCCACCGGAGCGGCGGGCAGCAAAGCCATCCAGCTGATCGATGTGGATGGCAGCAATGGTGCCGGCAGCGCTAGCGGCGTTTCGGACAATAACTATACAAACGTGGCTGTGGGCCTGGGCGCCATGCTGCTGAACGAATCACTGCTGCTGGAGGGTAATGAGACGGGTCTGAGCATTTTCGGTGAGCTGGTGAATGGCAGCGGGCAGCAGCTGCTAAATGCCAGCGCAGCGATCAATGTCACCGCCAGCAAAGTGGCCGAGGATGACTTCACACAGCTGCTGCGCATGGCGGTCACCACGGTGCTGCTGGGCCTGATGATACTCGTCACCATAATTGGTAAGTCAGCGGGAGCAGAATGTGAAAAACATGAAAAGCTCATTTGAGGCCGTACGAACGACGACCACTCTGAGTGTAAGCGAAATCCAAAGCCAAAGCCAAAGCCTAAACATAGACATAATTATTTGCGCGCTGCTTTTGGCCCGACAATAAATTCCATGGACGGCAGTCTCAGGCACGCGCGTGCCAGTAAATCCGACGCGCCATTTCATTGGGGAATATGGCAAACAATTCAATAAGGCAAAGCCAAATGACAGCAGCAGCCAGTTGCTGCGGGTGGCGATGCGGGCTGGTCCCTTAAAACAGGCATCGAGTGGTTGCGCGTTCGCCTTCAAGACTTTTGCGTCCGTTCAGCATTTCAGTTCAGTTGCAGATAATAAAATACGCGTAACTGATATTTATGATGCTGCCGAGCCGTTTTGTATTATTTATTATTGTTGTTATTATATCAGCAGCAGCACCAGCACTTCGACTGCTCGTTTTTAATAAGGCGGCTCAATGTCGATGTTGCCATTGTTGTTGGGCAACATTCATTACACGCATTTAGCCATAAATCCAAAGGCAAACAGAAGACAAAATTCGATCGGCAGCGGCAGCGGCAGCACTCATCTAGGCCAAAGCGACACGCCGCATTAAAACTGACAGACAATCAATCAATCAATCACAGTCACAGCCACAAGAACAACAGCAGCAGCAGCACGTTTTTTGTGCTCTCAACAAAATTACCATGAATACTTTAACAGTCCGATTGTAAAACGCAAAACATTTAGGTGTATGGCACACAGAAAAACAAAAAAAAAGCCAGAGCAGCAAACAGCTGAAATTGATTTCATTAATTTAAGTAGATTTCGTTTCATTTAATTTAAACACGGCGCAAAAGTTAAGAGCCAAAACATAAAACCAAGAAGCAAGCCAAATAGCAGGAGCCCCAAAAAGTATGCTACACTTTTTCGAATGGAACAAAGGGCCATTTCCTCTGCGCCAATTCACATGCATTTGTTTACGTTTTCTTTTTCTCTTTTATTTTGGCACTCATTTGGTATTCATTTTGATTTGCTTCTAATTTGTGTTTATTTTTTGTAGTTTTGCTTTGCGCTCTGATTTTCACGCTAAACGTTGCCATTTTCATTTCAGTTTTCATTTTCATTTGAGTTTTCTTCACTTTTGAGCTTGGCACTGGTTGCATTTGCTTTGAATGCTATTTTGAGTGCCAACATTTAGTATTAAGCATATAAAAGGAAATGCTAATGATGCTTAATGCTTACTACCCCAGCATGAAACAAGAAACTAAGCAAAATTCGGTGCCCAATAGCTGCTATTTTTAGGCAACAGCTTCAATAACAACAATAACCGACCCAATTGAAAACATGGCTCGTTTGTGCTTGCTAAGAGGGTAGTTAGAGAAATGCCTAAAACAAGATTTGAAGGCAATCAAAGTTGAACTTGAATATAGCTTTCATCAGATAATGATGATGTGTTTCTTTCCTAATTCCTTACCACATTTTAATTAATTGGTTGTAAATGGATTAATGATAACGAAATTGCTTTTGTTAAGACATATTTTTGATATAAAGACATATTGGCCGCTCGAATGGCCGCCACGTTTTGCCGAACTTCGTCGAGTTGGTCAAGACCCCAACTTAATGCTAACTTTGGACCCATAAAATAGCTTAAAGAGTTAAGCTTCTTATCTTTATATATAGGAAATATGAATAGATTAATATTAGAGAATTTACTTACTTTGAACTACATTAGAGACAAAACATCTGATACTGTTTGTGATCAACTTCATCAAGAATATTATCTTCAAATTATCCAAGATGTGCCTGAAACTAAATTATAATAGGATTTCTTATAGTAAGGGTTTTTAGTTCGTACTTAACTTAATGTTAGACTAAGAAAGTTCATTTAGCTTTATTTTAAACAATTAATCTTTTTGCTTAGTGCGAAGCTTGCAAACAAATGCTATCAATTGACTTGCTGAAATGCTATTCAAACTTGTGTCCAATATGCACTTTAAATGTAAATATTTACATATTGTAATCAATTTATGCATTTTTCAATAAATATGCAATTTTCCAATTGATTCATTTATGACATATACTGTTAATATATTTGTTTAACTTATGTTTATTCAGCATTAAATGATTTAATTCTTTAATTGAGTTTAAGTGGCCAAACAAATAGATATAACTAATTGTCTCTATTGCATTTTACTGTCTGCAGTTTCGGAGAAGCTATTTCCTGGCACTTAGCACAAATTTAAATTTGAAGTAAAAGTTTAATGCTGATGCAACGCTTTTCTTTAGACAAGTATTAAGTGCGTATATATATATATATATATATATATATATATATATATATATACTTAGTTAAGCTCAGTTTGAAGTTTTGTTTTTATGGCATTGCTTGGGGTTTGCTCAACTTTTAGCACTAGTCGCGATGTGCAGCAACAACAACAACAACGAGATTGAGCCCAGCTAAGCGGAGGTGCAATGCAAACAGCTGAGGTACAGCAAAGACAACCCACTTTGCCTTCACTTTGACACCGAAGTGTCTAATTACATGTGTATTCCTTTGTTGCCGCACCTGACAGGTGCCTTTGTATGTATGTGTGTGTATGTGTGTGTGTGTGTGTGTGTGTGTATGTGTGTATGTGTGCACCATACCCGTCACCATGCTGTGCCACAAATTACATGTCTTGGGCTCAACTTTTGCAGCCTCCCACATTTCTTTGGTGCACCTTCAAGTGTGCCACAAGTAGTTGCTACAGCCGGGGGATATAAAAATAATATAGAAGGCACTAGCCGACATCAAAGGTGGCGCCAACGAATGCTGCACAAACTGCTGTCAATTTCACGCCCACTCACTAAGCGAGTGCTAGGCGTGGCATGGCAGAGGATGAGACGTCGGCGTGGCGTTGGAAAAAGTTTACGACAGCGCGATTAGCTCATGTCGTTTATTTTGGCTTTTGTGAACTTTCTCTGAGGCGGCTCAAGTGCAACACAATGTGGCAAGTGTTAGAGCAGGACGAAAACCTGTGCCAGGCAATTGCAGTGATATTCGGTTACAGCGCCCACTGGGACGCTCTGAATGTTCAAATGCAGCAGCCAAGTTTAATAAGATTCCCATTTCATTTGGCCACACGGCTCTGCGGCACACAACTTTCGTAATTCGTAAACTTTATCCGATCGCTTGGGTATCGTTTTCCATTTCAACAGAGGGCATTTGGATTTTTTCATGAATTGTGTAACGCATAGAACGACACATCTTCAAACCCATAGTGTAAGCATATATATTCTTGATCGGCATCCACGGCCGCGTCAACATAGTCTCTACGTTTCAAAGATATCTTCATCAATCTCTGTCTTTATGTTGCAGACAGTTCATATATGTCGGAATCGTATAATGGTCGGATTACTATATCATATGGCTCAATAGAATGAATTGTAATATATATATTTATATATATCTTGATTTTTTCATATACCTTGATCAAACTCAGCAATTATGAGCTGAACCGCATAAAAACGGTATACTATATTATATTTCTCCTTAGTGTCCGTAATAAAACTTTTGTATACAAGACATTGAAGGACATTTAAACTTCCGTTTGGCATTGACAATCCTTCCTTCTTGTTTTCGTTTTAATTTTCATTCACGTTTACGTTTACGTTTATGTATTCGTATTTCCCATTCGTTTGTGCTTTCGACTTTGGTTTTGCTTTGCAGCTGCGCTTAAATTTGACTTGCCGACATACTTAATTGAATTGAAAACTTTGCGCTCAAGTCAATTTTCGCAATTAGGCCGCTGAGCAGCAGCAGAAACAGTGGCAACAGTTCGTGCAGCTGTCATTGGCATTTCGCATTTCCTCTGTAAAGAATTAGTACAAGTTCTTGAACAATTGCAGGCAACGTCTTTGTGATAGCTGCCATTATACTGGAGCGAAATCTACAGAATGTGGCCAACTATCTGGTGGCCTCCCTGGCCGTTGCTGATCTGTTTGTGGCCTGCCTGGTGATGCCACTGGGCGCAGTCTATGAGGTAAGTGCGGGTTAAAGTTGCAAGAACTTCGACCCGAGACCCAAATTGGTCTCTCATGTTGATGGATAATTAAGTTAGCCGAGAATATTTAGCTGTAGTAAGTTGGGTAGAATTTAACGATTGCAGAGTCGTGACTACGGTAATTGCGATGCAGAACTATTGGTAACACTTACAGAAATAAAATAAAAAGTATCGAAAGGACACTAGACATTTATGACAATTGTTATCGATTATTTTTAATGCTGTTGATAGCAGCTAAAAAGTCAGCATTGACATACGACTTAAGAATAGAATTAATGAATAGAAGACAACAATCGATTTTAATCTTTGCCATGTTTAAATATAACGTATATTTAAATGTGTTTATCAACAAAATTATTGAAACTATCGATGTATTGACTTATCGATACATAGACTGTTTCAATGTAATCGATAAATAAAAGTATTGACTATAAAAATGATAGACTATGTTCAGTATGGATTATTTTGCAGCACAACAAACTGGGTATTCAGCAATCAGTTCCTTAAGAGAACAAAGAATTAAGCCTTGCTGCCCAGCAGCACCAGGCGTAGGCATAGCCAAAGCTTGACCCTTAACAAACGATTGTAGTTGGTCAACTGTTGTCCTGGCCAGCGGGGGCTTAGCCATTTAAAGGCAGTGCAATCCTTGTTTGTACCCAGTTATTAGATGCCATTATGGCCTGGCCTCTTTGTGAACTCTTCCCCAGCGTGACATCAATTTTAATAAGCCATCAACTTTTATTGTCTATTTAACTGGCACTCTGAGACCCTGGCCGTAACTTTATGTACTTTTCATCTTATCTGTGCCAACGCACACACAGATCAGCCAAGGCTGGATACTTGGACCGGAGCTATGCGACATTTGGACATCGTGCGATGTGCTCTGCTGCACTGCATCCATTCTGCATCTGGTTGCCATTGCCGTCGATCGGTAAGTAATTACATTTTTTGGTGCGACTGTTAGTGCGAGTGGGAGGGGGAATTAAATATAAAGTAAAAGAAAAAAATAGCTGAAGAAATCATCACATTTGATAAATGAGCACCAAAATCCACTTGTAAGCGACGTGTAAAACAAGCCGGCATTCCCCCTGAGCGGGGTTGTGGATATTAAGGCGGTTTTCTGTCAATATGAGGGCGATTATGTGCCTGTGTGTGTGTGTGTGTTTGCGTGTGTTTGTGTGTGTGAGCTAAGCGAATCAATCAATCAAGTTTTTAGCATGTCAAATCTCTTTACAAATCCACTTGGCAACAAAACGAAGCGCACATTAAGACACATAGCAAAAAGAATACGTGAAAGCACTTGAGCAATGTGCACAAGACATTGAGATGCCCTAGATAAATATTTTTAGAATTTATGAGTATAGAAAAGGGTAAAAAAAAGAAATATCCTTAAATTTATGATAATCCGGACTCATCTAAAATAAATGTAAAATGTCCTTACGAAAAAACGTTTTACTTTTTTTCTGATTTACTTATAAATTGCCTAAAAAGTCTAAAAAACAAATTAACTAGCGCAATTATTAATATTTTAATCGTAAGAGACATAAGCATTTTACATTTTCAAGCTAAGCTGATATACTTCGGATATACTTTCTGTACATTTCCATGCACAAAGTAATATTCAACAGCTAAAATGGCACAAAAGATTTATGAGTCCTTTTAGATTTGTGAACATTTAAAAAATAAATGAAGGCATTATTGAGAGCTCTATGGCTCCGCAATTTTATAAAGCAAGCTCTGACACAATTTAAAATGTGATTTAATGCAAAACCATTCTCAATGCTTAGCCAGCATTTGCTAACAATCGATATGCCCAATAAAAGTAGAAGCTCATACCCAATCCAATGGACACGGCCGCGACCAACTGTCTGTCGCTCAGTTCATAACGGGTGCGTGTGTGTGTGCCTTTAATATGCTTAGCCATTTAGGGTTGACAAATCCGGGGGCTGTGTTTACTCGGCTTGTCTCCTGCCACATTATGGCTATATCAATTTAAAATAAATTCTCACTTATTGAAGCGTATGGGGCATGTAGCATGCCTGGCTGCATATCATCAATCAATTTGCAGCAAACATTTCAATCAATCAATCGAATTGAGTACGGCGCCCAAACAAACGGTAAATGAAATGAATTTCATTTGCAGGCCTTCGTGAAAAGCAAATCTAATGCCATTCGCAATGTGTTTTCGGTGTGGTTGAGGGGCTGCTATTCGATTTCGGCAGATCGCATATTCATTAGGAAACGTACCCAAGGCGATGCCTCAATGTCAGTTAATTGCAGCCGCTGCACTTGACGACAATGCCAGAGCAAGCAACAAAAAAAAAATGAATAAAAAAATTGGAAAGCTTGGATGCTGAATACTTAGCTGCACGTTGCAAGTGGCACAATATTGTCGGCTATATTGGCGCAATTTTCAATGGCTTCACGTCGCGTATACGTAATGTGCAAAATGTACAAATGAATGCAATGGGCCCAAGCAACACCAGCAGCAGCAGCAGCAGCATTTTGTGTATTTAATGAACACTTAGCGCACCCCAAATAAGCAGCAGAGGCAGCCACAATGGTAAAGGCCACACCAAAGCCAGCCAAGGCCTGAGTCCCCAGGCCCATACAACGTATCGTATGCGCAATGTAATTTCGAATTGGCAAAACGTCGCGCTCTGCACTTGACTGGCTAATTTCATTTTATTGAACAATGGCATTTTCGGTCAGCTTGCATGGCCAATAGCAGGCTGAACGCCCACATTAATTGGCTAAGCTGCGGGTCAATGCGGTGCCAATTATTTGGTGGTTTCAATTAGTGCAGCCGGCCAGAAAAACAAAGCCCAGCCGCAGAACAGTCCAAAAATAAATTATGTAAAATACACACAACAAAATTATATTTATTTTTTAGTTAGTTGTGCACACACACACACACACACACACACAAGCCCGTGCACACATTTCAATTATGTTTATGGCACACGCGGCGTATACGCATTTGCGCGTTTCAATGCTTTAGTTGCAGCTCATTAAAACGAAGCCCTAGAAAATGTTATTAGTTTTACACTAATCGATGCATTTGCCTGTGAAATTGTGTACTTCAGCTGCGGGCGCTTGCATATGTCGCTTGGGAAGCACTTCAATTTAAACGTTGTGCAATTTCGGGTTCAATTTATAGCTCATGAAGCGGAATATTTAAATTAAAATGAATGCATTATTATTGAGGCGAACAACTTTGAATAGACGCTGCTGAGCCTAGAGCTGCCTATTCAACCCGACTCGGGCAGCACAGAGAATTCTATGCACGTCTATAGATTTTTTCAAGTCTCAAAGCAAATAGATATATACGTCTCGTCAGTCATTAGGCAATGCTAGAGTTTATAGTTGAACTCAATAGGTCTGTTTAAGCTTTGGACTACCTGCTGGCTTGCCTTATTCTATGTAGTTCCTACATGATGCGCTGTCCGATTCTTACAGGTATATTTGCCTACTGTGTGCTCTTATCATTTCGCTCGCTGATTTGGCTGTCAATTGGGCAAATTGAAATGCTGGCTGGCCCAAATTGCCTGTCAATAAATAAAGCCAAGTGATGCTTGGATTTTGCATGCATATCAATCAGCATAGCATTCGGTTGAAATGGCACTGGTGCTTCAATATTTTGGGTATTTGGGCTGTCAGCTGGACGCCAAAAAGGGAGATGGCGCCTTATTTCGTATATTATGATGGCCGCCACTCAAAAGTATGCAAATGAGCTGCATGACAGCTCCGTTTCTGCCCGAATGGCAACTCATTGTGGGGGATCGGCAGCCAAGTTCTCAAGAGCAGCTTGCGCCATGATGAAACAATTACGGCGAAATTCCTGGACCCGAGTCTGGACCGGGGAAGGCGCCCACCCGCAGTCGGGCAGGCGTACACTTTACGAGTATTTGCTAGTTGTCACTTGATATTTAAAATAGAATTCAAAGCCAGCTTTTACTTATCAGCAAACGGAATGAAAATTAATGTGCTTTTAAGCAAGAGGCCGCCCCATTTGCTGGTTGTCATTGTCGCTGCCAGATCCACAGCGAGAGGAAGCCCACTCTGCCTGCTGCCTGTACATTAATAAATTAAGTTTGTCAAACGATTCTTGCCCCCGAGGCACCTCTCACAGGCAGTCTCTTTGCTGGCTGTTGCGCCCGCATGATAAATAGTTGCTGGAAATTCGACTACAATAATAATATTTGCAAGTATTTGTCGTTAGGAGCAGCCGACTCGTTGACAAGTAAGCAGCCAACAGGCGACGACAGCCCATGTTGCAAGAAACTGCCGACTGCCGAATGCCGCCCGCCTACTCTTGCCTGCCGCAGCCGCCTCACTCAGCGTTGCCAAGTTCATTTTCCATGTCAGTAATTTTTAAGCAATTAAGACAAAGTGCCAACAATATTTACGAAATTGTGAGACAAGAAGCAGCAACAGCAAAAACGAACAGCACCAGCAGCAGCAACAAAAACCCGTGTCCAGAGAAAAGCAAAAACCCCAAAAATACCCCGAGCACAATAAAGGCCTATGACACGATACCGTTCCCAACCAGGCTGGTGGACAGCAACAACAGCAGCTAGAAAGAACCTGACAACGAATATTAAATACCCTTAAATAAAAACGCATTAAACACGCAAAATAGTTCAGCTCGTAATTGCTGACTTTGGTGTAGAATATCTTGTAAAGCAAAAGAGGTTTTCCATACCGAAAGTCAGCTTTCAAGCGATTCTTCTTTAAAAACTGTGTGATTTAATAATATGATGCTGATACGATTTTGTTAATATGCAAAAGGCGAGGTAAGGCTCGTAAATGCTAAGTTTGCCCAATATATCATTCAAGAATTTAATTTTTGACCTATATGATTCCTCTTCCATCCGACAGATGGACAGAGTTCAGTCTTAAACGAACGGACAGAAGGCCTTGACTCTATCGCATCGGCTGCTAATGCTGCTCAAGATTATATATACCTTATGGCCTCGGCGAAGTTGCCTCCTGTGCGTTTCACAGTTCGTGGAATACTTATAATACCCACTACAAGGGTATAAAAATGGCGCATGGTCATTAATCTTTATGCCTTTCGCTGGCTGCTGCCATTGCGGCTGCTGTTGTTGTAGTTGCCGTTGCCGCTGCTGTCGATGGCGCTGTCAATGCCAAAATATATGCACAGACAATGCTATATACATATATATATATATATATACAATATAGAGAGCGCCCGCAAACGCGTCCGCGTCGTGGGCATTGGAGTTGTGCATAAATTTCATGCTCTGCAGCATGTTGCTGACGTCATTATTAGTGGAAGCAAATGACAAATGCCACATGGGGCAAACTGCTGCCCGGTCAAACAATCATTTAAATGCAAAGTTTTGTTTTGTATTACTTTTGATTGCATACAACACGTGACTTTAAGCCCTTGCCATGTAGCACAGTGTTAGCTGAAGAGGCCAACAGTTGCGCCAAGTTGTAGCTACTGTTGTTGCGCCAAGTTGTAGCTACTGTTGTTGTTTTTGTTGCTAATGTTGTTCGTTTTTTGCTGACATATTCAATTAAATTTCAATTAAGTTTACGTTGTTTTATTTCATTTTATTTTTTTTTCATAAATATTTTACCATTTAGCACTTAAAACGTAATTACATGTTAATATTCGTCGCCGTTGACGATGTCGTTGTCGTTTGCGTTGTTTGGCGTAAATGCTAGCTTAACAACAACAACAACAACAACTACAAATACAACAACAACAACATTATCGAGAACAAGAACAACAAGAGTAACAACCACTGCGACCACAAACTGTCCCCATATGTGCCCTGCTGTACCATGTGCAATTGTAATTGCTGTTGTCACACAAGAGTTTTTCTACTTAGTGCAGCTACAGTCAGTGCGAAAAGTCTGTGTATTGGGTGCATAAATACAAATACATTTTTAATTTGC